ACGTGCTACTACTAGGCGTGCTACGTGCTACCACTTAGGCGTGGGTACGTGCTGGACATACATAGAGCTCACTCATTTTTCTACCGATTATGTGAACTCTTGTGATTTGAGGCCAAGTGTATAGGAAAGGCCCGACAAAATAAACTCATGTTGGCTGTTAAATACCATCAAAACCAAGTGCGGACGTTATTTCTAATTTATTTACGGCTAGCCGGCATGGCGATGTATTCAGCTGACGGCTGATGACTAATGTATACTTTTTCCTTTGTTGCAAAGGAAGACAAAATATCCTAACATTCAAAGTATATTTAGAGCGTGATGCACAAATGCAATAAGTCGCAACTCAACAGCCAAGGAAAATGGTGTGTACGGACTCGACGGCACGTAAAGTTACGTTCGACAATGGCACGTACAAATTCATTGGCGCATATCAGACCACTGCTCCAATGCTTAAGCACGAATGCTAATAGGGACGAAACCTGACCCATCATGGGTGCCACAGGAGGCAAACAAACTGGCTCCCGTCAACAAGTATAGGGTCCTCAGAGCAAGCGAAAAAGTGAGAGCAACGTGGTGAGCCCCTAAACGACCGTTAGTGCCCGGCAGGCCGGCATACAAGGCCCGGCTAGAGCACAGGGCCCTCTGAGCAAGGGGGTTAACAGCAAGAGCCTTGACAGGAGTGAAGAGTCCCCCGAAGATGAGACCAAGGGGAAAGAACCCTTGATCAAAAGGAGGAGGGGGGGGGGGGGGGGGGCTCTGAGCATCGGGTGTCTTGGTACCTTACCATACATGAGCTCCAGCAACAGCACGAGGCCCTCCGAGCAAGTGGAAAGAGCCCGAGAGTAATATGAAGAGCCGCTGAGCAGCTGAGTGTACCCTGGCATATGAGGCCCCGGAAAAAGCGTATGGAGCCTTTCGGGCGAACGGAAAAAATCCGTGGAGGAAAACCTCATCGATCAAGAATCAAGGGCAGCGTGGAAGCCCTTGATCTGCAAAGAGATCAAGGACAACGTGGAAAGCTCCTTAGCGATCAGACTGACCCGGCAAGTGGACATATAGGGCCCGGACAACAGCGTAATATCCCTTCACGGCGTAATGAACCCCAAAATTTCCCACAAGCAACACCTTTAAATCAATCAGGAACTGACTTTTCTGCTTAGGAAATCTTTGATTTTTCCAGCAATTATTCTAGGTCGTCTGTAGGCACAAAGACGTCCAATTTTGTTGTGTTTTTGTTTTGTTATAAAACTGTGTCCGTTCGGCCGGTTGTGGGCCCCTTTAGAGTCTTTAAGTCCCCTCGGTATGGTCCACGGGGGAATGGTTCCGTGCGTTCCTCCTCTCAATCTGTAATCGCCATCGGCCCGAGCAGCTTAATAAATGGGGCCCACCAAGAACATAGGGTCATCCACTCAAATAAGAAGAAGTCAAAACGCAGCATGGAGAGCCTCGGAATGATCGAGTGTGCCCGGGCAGGTATCGGATGGTAGCCCCCGACAAGGGCGCAGGACCAGTGCCCGAGCAAGTTATCATATAGGGTCCCTGTCAAGAGCGTAGGGACCTCCATACGAATAGGAAGTACCCAATACCCAATGTAGAGCCCCCTCCCCCCCCCCCCCCCCCCGAATGATCAAGTGTGTTCGAACAGGTTACAGATACGGCTCCTAACAAGAGCGGTAGAGCCCTCCATTCAAATAGAAGCACACAATACCCAATGTAATTGGCCCCCCGAACGATGGTATGAACCCGAGCAACTCATCAGAAGAGGTCTGACAAGAGCGCAGGGCGCTCCACTCAAATAAGAAGTACCCAAAACCCCGTGCACAGAGACCCCAAAAGACGGAGTCTACACGAAGAGATTGTCCAAATGGCCCCCGACAGGAGTGTAGAGTCCTAAATTTCAATACCAAAGCCCAATCTGTAGGGCCCCCGAACGATCCAGTGTGGCTGAACAGTGAGGCGAACAGAGAGCCCCCCCCCCCCCCGACAGGTGCGTGGGGCCCAGTTCAAATAGGACGTACCCAAAACCCAATGTAGAGAGTCCCGAGCGACCGAATATGCCGGAGCAGGTTATCAGATAGGCCCCTGACAAGATTGTAGGGTCCCCATTAAACAAAACTCACTTAAGACCTAGTGTGGAAGATCCCCAAAAGATGAAGTGCACCCATGCAGGCTGTCAGATGGCCCCTGACAAGAGCGTAAGGTCCTACATTAAAATACCCAATGTGCAGGGCCCCCAAGCAATCCGTTGTGCCTGAGCAGGTTAACAGATGGGCCCCGACAAGTGCGTAAGGTCTTCCGTTTCAAGTATGAAATACCCACCACATGATGTAGAGGGATCCGAATGATCGAGTGCACCAGAGCATGTTGTTAGGTAAGGATATCGTTAAGAGCGTAGGGCCCTCTATGCAAATAAAACGTACCCAAGACCTCGTATGGAGGGCCCCTTAAATATGGAGTGTACCCGAGCCGGCAAACAGATGACCGCGACAAGAGTGTAGGGCCCTACATTGAAATATCCAATGCGCAGGGCCCGCAAACGATCCAGTGTGCTGGAGCATGTTAATAGATGGAGCGTCGACAACTGTGTAGGGACACCCATTATAACAGAAAGTACCCAATGCCCATGTTGGAGGGTCCCGAACTACCGAGTGTGCATAAGCAGGTTTACAGATGGCCCCCAATAGGAGCGCAGGCCCTAAGAAAGTGACTTGAAATTGGAAGCGTCCTGGACCAGTGTAAAGGGCCCATGAGGATATCGCCAGTGGTGTCGGTAGGTGAACCAAAACCAACGTAAGGGGCCTCTGAGCAACCGAGAATAGTCCGGCAGGTTAACGTATGGGACCGTGGCTATAACTGATATAGCCTTTCTGGCGAATGGAAAAAAATCCGTGTGTAGGGCCCCTGATTGACAAGAACGCCCCGGCACGCTTGCAGGAAGGGCACAGCAACAGCGCAGTGCCCTCCGAGCAAACGCAAAGAAATTAAACGCAACATAGAAGACTTCTTAACAATCGGAATGACCCGGCAAGTAGGCATATAGATCCCCGGAAACATTGGGCCCCTGGAGGGCGTAATAATGCTTAAGATTCCCAATTAACAAGTTTTTCAATCACTGAATATTTTTTATCTTTTCTCGTGGGCCTTCTCTTTTGTTTTAAACTGTTCTTGGTCGTCTGAAAACCTTAAGATACCCAGTTTTGTACGTCTTTGAATTTCCAGACCACCAAGAAAAGGTGCGATTTGAACGTACGCGGCCCCTACCAACTTTTCAGGTAGCATTTTCCTAGAGGATTTTCTTTATGATATGGCAGCTATTAATTGGTAGGGTTTCATGCGCATATTTGACAATAGCGGCATTTGTCAGCTCGAGAATCTATGTATAGAAAGATACAGATACGGTTCTCGTATGATGCTGCATGAAAAATAAACCTCTAACACCCTAATTCCTTTTGGTCATTACTCTCAGGATATTGTTTCCTCAATGAGCTCTAAGCACAAGGTCCTCTGTCGTGCAGTTTGTCTTAGAATATCATGGTGAAATTGGTCTGGCAGTGCTATGGACAACATGTGAACATGTGAAATGATTTCGAGCGTTGTGCCACTCTGACTCATTTAATTTAATAGTGTGTAAAGAAATGAGTAATTTGGTACAGCTAAAATAGGTAATGATGTGCCATGAGCTTGGACATGCCTGGTGCATGCCGGCATAGTCAATTTGTTCCATCATGTCTTGCTTTTTACTTGGTATCCTATATAAAATATATCTCAGCTTCCTATACCTGAAGTTATGTGGTCATGCAATATGCTGATATAAGTTGGAACCCCTACATGATACCAGGGCAAGTATCAGCTAGATTTCGGTAGGCCCCATTGTCCTCAAATGATGGCATTACTGGGCATTGTACACTTCTGTCATGTATGCTTTTCCAAAAAGCACAAGTGTAGGTAATTAGTGATCATTGGTTGTAGTTCAGGCTGTATTCTCATAATCTACTGGCTATTTTATTTAGGGGAAATTTAAAATGATGGCCAACTGAAGGACCACAGTTATATAGACCTAGAACATAGCAGCTTAGGTTGATTCATGGCTGGTGAAAATGAAAAGCATCAAAAAAGGAAAGATGGAATGAATAAAAAATAAATGAATTTCTGGTTTGCATTTATTATTGAAATGCCATTGATTTTCATTGTCATAATGTTACTCCTTTAGTAAGCCTGGTTTTCTTCACTTCAGAGCTTATCAAAGTATGCTGCTCACATTTATGAGACTGCAAGCTTCTTTGCCCACCAAGAATGCTGTTATACACACAATCAGGTAAATATTTATAACTTTTGTTTGATGGATTAGATGTATTGGTTTGCTTATTTTGCTTGAACTGTATTTTTTAGGTGCAATATACATGTGGTAAATGCCTCAAGCATTGTCATGCAGGATGTATAGTGGGATATATTCATATAATTGCCATGATAATTGTACCCAATGTTTTGGCTGGTGATTTTTCTGATTAAAAAAGAAGAGTGTTCATTCTCATTTATTCTCAAACATTCTCAGCATCAAATAGCAGTTTAGGATGCCAAGAGAAGTACCTGTGGAAAACTTTTTCCTGCAAATAAAGACCATTGGCTGGGACAGATGCTTGAATAATTAGTTCACAAACACTTAAGATGGTAGATACAACATTTATAAAAAATACTGTGCATAAATTAATCAGACCAGTGCACACCAATGTGTTTTCATATGTTGCAAGCATCCAATTACCCCTGATTTCAGGTTATCATGGTGCAAGCCTTGCAAGCATCTGCTCAGCCAGTGCAAGCCATCCAACTTGGCCTTCCGTGTGCGCGCTGGTCCCGCACGGCCCGGCCTTTCGCCATGGCTGCTGGCGCGTCCACGCTTATCGCGCTGCTTGCCTGCTGGTCTGGCCGTGGCAGCATGTGGCGCCTGGCGCTGGCGGCTGGGGCGCGCGGCGGCGCTCTGCGAGGCAGAGCACACGCGCGTGATGCCCGAGGAGGCGGCCACCGAGGCGGCCCGGCTAGACTGGGCGCCGCCTCTGGCGCCTGCTCTGGCCCTACCTGCACTACCTGGTCGGCGCGATCTTTGTGAGTGACCGGCGACGAGTTCGAGCTATTGCACGACGACTGGGGAACTGCCGGTCAGCATATGACAGTGGTTTCGGGATATGTTTGACGGGAAAAGTGTAGCGCAGGGCGCGTCCAGTGTTGATCAACCTGCACTAAGCTACGCCAGCTGACAGCATCGTCCTCCGCAGAGCGCCGCTGTCGTCGCCCTCTGCAACGTGGAGGTGCCCCCGGCTGCTGGGTGACCTCATCAACGTGCTGACCCACTTTGCGTCGGGCGAGGGCGGCGGCCAGTTCAGCGACGAGCTGCGCCAGCCGGCCATTCGGCTCATCTCGTTCTACGGCCTGCAGGTGCTGCGCTGGGCAGGTGTCTGTGGCAGGCTGTAGCAGGCTGTCTGTAGCATGGCTGTAGCGGGTGTCTGGTCCGGGTGGTAGGGAGCTTTGTACGGGCCTGTCTGATCTGATCCGTTGCTTCTTGTCTGGTGTCTGGTCCTGCCTGATCTGGTGTATAGGTGTGTCTGGCCCACAGCGGTCGGCTAGAGCTACGTGTGCGGTCCTGTATGTTCAGCCGTGGTCGTCTTTGGTGTCAGCTCATGTCTTGGAAAAAAACAACCTGTGAACCATGTTGTTTCCATCTAGCCAAACCCCGCAAGGTTTGCTTCAGTCTGGTTTAACCGTGTCTGTTTTTTCTGGTCTTCTGTGTATCTGGCTGGTCGTACGTGGTCCTCTCAATCACATCCGGCTCCCACTGATCCCGTCTGGTATATGTTGTTGCTCCCTGGTTCCCACTTATCCCGTCTGGGTGCACGTCGGCGCTCTCTGGTTCCCGCTGATCCCGCCTGAAGCACGTCGGCGCTCTCCGGTTCCCACTGATCCTATCTGGTGCATGTCGGCGCTCTCTGGTACCCGCTGATGCCGTCTGGGGCACGTCGGCGCTGTCTGGTTCCGCTCATTTGACTGCAGTGACTGGTCAGCTGCGCCTGGTCTGTCCTCGAGACTGCTCAGATAGTCTTGCCCCATCTGCAGAGGTCCTGTGCTGATCCTGTCAGGACACCCTAATCCCGGTCTGAACTAGCCTGTGCTGATCCCATCAGGGTAGCCTGATCCTGGTCTGAACTAGTCTGTTCTGGTCCCATCAGGACACTCTGATCCTGGTCTGAACAAGCCAGTGCTGATACTGTCTTGATACTCTGATCCTTGTCTGAACTAGCCTGTGCTGATCCTGTCTGGGCACCCTGATCCTGGTCTGAACTGGCCTGTTCCAATCCTCCGTGGTATGTGTTTGTGCTGTCCTGTCCATGTTTGCTCCAATTCTCTTGTGTGCTTTGGTTCTGCTTGCTTCCCTCTGCTTCTGTCTGTTCTTGCCCGATGTATGTGGGGCTGTCAGACTCTTCCGGACCCTGTTTGGCTCGCAGAGCTTAGCCGGCCTACTGGACGCCGTGTTGCTCGTTGGGCTCTGTTGATAGTGATTGTGAGTGTTGATGGTGGTCATTGGCCACCGGGCTGGTGAGTTGGGATGAGGACTGTCTGCAAGGCATATTTGGATACTGGTGGGCAGATATAAATTTCTGGATCTGGTCAGCCTGCTTAGCAAACACTGTATTCACATATGATAGTTATTGTCTCTTGTCCTCTCAGAGAGCATGTCGCGTGTTTTCGAGCCAAGTGCGCCGGACTAATTGCTATGCTGCTTTCACTTAAGGATAAAGTGTGCGTCATTAAAAGCCACAGTGAATGCCGCCGCATTGTGGATGTGACACGCTGATGAGGCTTTGTCACTTTTCGCCTAATATCGTTTGCCTCGGATGACGTGGCAGTGCAGAAAGCAGTTCGGTTTTCGTCGTTAGCCATTTGTGTTTGTTGCTGCTGCTTTGCAATCCCATGGTGCCCTGGGCCATGTCGTGTGCAAATCTACTTCGTTGTCATGTCAGCCACTGCACTACACAGTGGCGTAGGGGCTGAACATACTCCTCGTTTCGACACCTACTGAGCACGCTGTCTGTCGTTTAGCCTCTGCTATCGACAGCTGCCCTTCACAGGGTTCTGCGTCGTGCCCATTTCTCCTGCATCTATTGTCGAGACACCCCTGCCGCGCGCTCCACGTATTACCTGATCACACCAGTCCGCCCCCTATCGCCCACAGTCGCTGTTCACGCTGGCCTACATCGTGTGCCTGTCGTACATGGGCGAGGGCATGGCGGCCGACCTTCGCTCCCAGCTGTTCGGCGTGCTGATGGAGCAGGATGTGGCCTTCTACGACCACCACAAGACGGGCGAGGTCATCAACCGGCTGACCACGGACGTGCAGGACTTCAAGAGCTCCTTCAAGATGTGCGTGTCGCAGGGCATGCGCAGCATAGCGCAGGTAACGCGGTGCCGATGTGGAGGTGTGTTGCAGTATCAGGGCCAGGCGCCGAAGCGGTCCTTTTGCACGATGGGCGGATTAGCCACATTTTCATGCTCGTTTGTGTTGTGTCTCATTTCTTCCCATATGCACTGCTTGTTACATCGTATTTTCAGTTACAGTCAACCATTCCCATTGCCAAGAATAGCCAATGCCAATGCTGGAGCACGCCGGCAGAAAACCTTTCGTTAGCATTTGCTTCTGTTTCGTCGGGCATGATTATCAGCGCATCCACATCTTCCATTTTATATGGCACAGCTGATTCATGTGCTATCTACGGACATACTTCCACTCTCTTGGGGAGTGCGAGCAAGGCACGGGTGATCAATTGACCATACATCTATACCGGAGATCTTCGTTGAACTTGTGGATGGTTAAGCAGTGTGCCATTAAAAAACATTGGGTGTCTTGGAAATAATATAGTATGTGCAAAATGCTAGCCTAACATGTCCCTCAATGCACCTTTTATCGTGTAAGGATTGTCTGTTGCCAGCTTCCGGCAACAGGTGATCAGCTTCCGGAGCGCTTAATGCCTCCCTGAAATTTATCTGATCATATGCAGTTAGAATACACAGGTGAAACCCTGCGATGTCCGATGCGGCAAGATATCCTTGACTCTGTGCGAAGCAAGTGACTGAGCACCTACACTACCAATATTAAGCTGCTCACCATCACTTATCATATGACACATATGGTGTCGTTGCTGACTGCCGCACACAGCCACACAGTCCACCACTCGGAGGAGAAACCTAGGACTTCAAGTGGTGGGTGGTGTGGCTTGCCCTGTACCACATCTGTCCCCAGCTTACTCTGACCCTCACTACCAGATGGTGTGGCAATGTAACACACCTGTAATGTAACACACCTTTGTGGCTGCCCTGTACCACACCTGTCTTCAGTTAACTCTACCCCTCACCGCCAGGTGGTGGACTGTGTGGCTGCCCTGTACCACACCTGTCTTCAGTTCACTCTGCCCCTCACCGCCAGGTGGTGGGCTGTGTGGCTGCCCTGTACCACATCTCGCCCCAGCTGACGCTGGGCTCGGCCGTCGTTATTGGCTCCGTCGTCAGCGTCGGCACGATGATTGGCCGCGGCCTTCGTGCCATCTCCCGCGACGCCCAGCAGCAGGTCCGTTAGCCGTGCGTCGGACTGGGACGGGCGGATTGCTCACCCCTGCTTCGAAGTTGGCCGCCCCTAAAACCGGATTTGCTGGTACGTCAGTTGTGCCACTGGGTGTTTGGGAGGCAAGAAGATTCCCCACGGCGCCCGCCCGCAGCCAGGGCGAGATACAGGAAACACGATGTAGTCTCAGCTGTGGAGTAAAGCCCCAAAGCTCCAGTAAAGCCCTAAAGCCCCAATAGTCAAGCCCCAAAGCCATGTTTTGCTCTCTGACTGCTGGGTCGTGGAGTTGGCGAACGTAACGTTGAAGCAATGCGTGTAAGTTTGTGCAGGTGGCAGCTCCGTAGGAGCTGTGCCGTTCGCGCCACGCGTTTTCTTTTGTTTGCATTGATTCGGTGTTCATCTGTTTCCCACCCGTCACCAAAAGCTCTGACTGCCTGTTGCACTGATAAACGCCTTAGAAGGCGCAGTGTTTTGCTTTTGGATCGTTGCCGGTGGTGTCCCGTCGAAAGACAGCTGTATGAGCCAAGCACCTCGTGGATGTCGTGCGCACTGTTCAGAGAGATTCTCATGTGACCTGACTCGGACTATCATCTCTCCGGCGCCCCGACAGGTGGCGCACGCGACGGCCGTGGCCGAGGAGGCCGTGGGGAACGTCCGCACCGTGCGCGCGTTCGCCATGGAGGACAGCGAGACCGAGTTCTACGTGGAGGAGGTCAACAAGTCCCGCGACATCCATATCAGGCTGGGCGTCGGCATCGGGCTGTTCCAGGTGGGGGCGGAACGTAACAGGATGCGTGCGTGCGTGCGTGCATGCGTGCGTGGGTAAGCGGTACCTCCAAAAGTTGAGCTTGCCTTGCTCTCATGCCTTTCATCTGCTTGTCTCTGCTTACTTATCCCTTAGTCCTTGATTCTCGCAGCTCCCTGTCCCCGGGGCAAGCTGCGAACGGCCGCCAGGCGCCGGCTTGAGTCTCGCCGCAGCGGCAAACCCTCCTTACCGCCGGCATAAACCCCGGAGAGAAGGCCCCTGTGCGTAGTGAGGTGCGGAAGTGGAGGTCTCCATGATAGTTGCAGCATCGTCCTATTACTAACCTTTGCCCCGCGATCTTGTGTATGCAGCTTTTGCACTACTATATCCCAAGTAGAAAACGAAATAAAGGCCCGCCTTTCCTGCCAGTGTCAGAGGCAGACGACGCCATATAGCCTCAGCAGCTAAGTGCGTCGTAAAAGCACAATGACACACAAGGCCAAACAAATGCGCTGGCGGTACGAACAACTGAAGCCTGGCGTGAACTAACCGAGCGTGCCGTGCGGGTCTGGCAGCCTCCAACCCCCGCCGTCCAGGCGCCTCGGCGGTGTGCCGCACTCCGCCTCGCACTCCGCCGCCACCCCCCTGACGCCCGCCGGCCCGGCAGGCGGGCGCGAACCTCTTCATGAACAGCGTGGTGCTGGCCACGCTGTACTACGGCGGCTACCTGATGTCGCAGCGCCAGCTGACCGCCGGCGACCTGATGTCGTTCCTGGTGGCCTCGCAGACCATCCAGCGCTCGCTGGCGCAAATGTCCATTCTGTTCGGCACGTTCGTGCGCGGCATGAGCGCCGGAGCGCGCGTCTTCGAGGTGAGAGGCTCAGCGGCCCGGTCGCTGCCGGCGGGCAGAGCCGCTCGTGAACGCCGGCAGGCGTCTGTGGTCTGGTCTGTAGTACTGTGGTCTGCTACTCTGCTATGTGGTATTGTGGTATAGGGAGGTTGAAGTTTTTCCAGTAAGCGTCCCTTGTTGTGTTCCGCTGAGATTATTTACTAGGTCCCGTTGCCTGCTTTAACTCTACCAAACTTGAGCACAGGGTCACCACGAGCTACGACCAGCTGGCTGTTCAGAGCTCACGTCCATCCTGGTGGCGCTGCGCATGCCATGTGGTTCGGTGCCCTGGAACATGATGCATATTGCATGTATTTTGAGCTATCCATTTTGAGGACCTGTACGGCAGCCACTTCCCAGTCGTCACATGAAAACCTGAAGCGGGACCGACCGTAACGGCGCTATCTGCGGGCAGTACATGAACCTCCGGGCTGAGATTCCGATCCGAGGTGGCGCCACCATCCCCGTCAGTCAGCTGACGGGCAGCGTCGAGTTTCGTGACGTCACGTTCAACTACCCCACCCGTCCACAGGTGGTGAGTTGGCTTGGAAACCAACAGAAGTGATGGTTGACGACTTGGATGGAACGTTTCGTCGCAGGGTTGGGGCTGCCTGCTGAGTGGCGCTCATTTATCAAAACATGGCGGCGGTCTTGATCGGACTGGGACTCACTGCCCCGCAGCGTTGGCGCTCCGCATCGCACTTGCAGCGTGGCCATAGTCCCGTCTCACCTGATAGTACCCTCCGTGTCGTTGGCATAGTGGCCTGTCATTTTTGACGAAATAAGTGCGGTTCAAATGTGGTGTGAAATATCTGTTCGTATATGCTTGAAATTCGAAGGAACCAAGTAGGAACGACGTGCAGCAGGCAGTTAGAAATGTGGGTGGAGATGATAAACCTTTTTTTTAAATCACGGCATCCATTACTGCATTACATTATGGAAATTACTGTCCCTCCCGCCGTGTTGTGCCAGGTGTCCCCGGCGTGGTGAAGGATGTGCTCGTTTTCCCGTCCAGGTGGTGTTGGACCATATGCAGCTGCACGTGCCCGCGGGGCACATGTTGGCCCTGGTCGGCTACTCCGGCGGTGGCAAGTCCACATGTGCCGCCCTGTTGGAAAGGTGAGGCCAGCTGAGGAGCAGTTCTGAAGAGGTGAGGTCACTGGGAAGCAGTGCTGCAGAGGTGAGGTCACTGGGAAGCAGTTCTGAAGAGGTGAGGTCACTGGGAAGCAGTGCTGCAGAGGTGAGGCCACTGGAAAGCAGTGCTGCAGAGGTGAGGTCACTGGAAATGCAGTGCTGGCAGAGGTGAGGTCACTGGAAAACAGTTCTGAGAGGTGAGGTCACTGGGAAGCAGTTGCTGCAATAGGTGAGTCACTGGGAAGCAGTGCTGCAGAGTGAGGTCACTGGGAAGCAATCCTGAAGAGGTGAGGTCACTGGGAAGCAGTGCTGTACAGAGGTGAGGTCACTGGGAAGCAGTGCTGCAGAGGTAAGGTCACTGGGGGGCAGTGCTGCAGAAGGGAGGTCACTGGGGAGCAGTGCTGCAGAGATGAGGTCACTGGGGAGCAGTGCTGCAGAGGTGAGGTCACTGGGAAGCAGTGCTGCAGAGGTGAGGTCACTGGGGAGCAGTGCTGAAGAGGTGAGGTCGCTGGGGAGCAGCGCTGCAGAGGTGAGGTCACTGGGGAGCAGTGCTGCAGAGGTGAGGTCACTGGGGAGCAGTGCTGCAGAGGTGGGGTCACTGGGAAGCTGTGCTCTGAAATTTGACTTTGGAACCTGAAATGAACTGTTGAACTGTTAGAATTGTGCCAAATAATATGGCGCATCTTTTAGCAAATATTTTAAGCTGTCATGCCTCACATCGTTTTGCGTGTTGTCAGGTTTTACGATCCTGTGTCGGGCCAGGTGTTGTTGGACGGGCATGACCTAAGGTCACTGGACCCGCACTGGGTGCGAGGGCGCGTGATCGGCTACATCAACCAGGAGCCCGTCCTGTTCGCCACCTCGATCAAAGAGAACATCCGATATGGCCGGACGGATGCCACCGACGAGGAGGTAGCGCACACCGTTTCCTCTTTTTTTTTTGGCCCGGTTTCAGATTGTCATGGAAGGCAACGCCTTCATTGTATGGCCGTAATATGGTTTATATCTTCTGTGGCAGTATGGGTTGTCAAAGCAAAGCAAAGGGTTACGTATATGTCCTACTATAGAAATGGATATCTTTAGTTTTGATTGGCTGGATAGCAATAGAGATATGCGTGAAGCGTGTTTCCGGCGGCCGGTAGGTGTTTCATCGAGGTCGGGCTTTCTGTTACGCTCTTTCCGTTCTACTTGTGGTTGCCTGTAAATGTGCCATTGGTTTCGATAGGCATCGTTTAACCTGCCTGCAAAATCGTAGCATCCCCACCTCCATAGCATGCACGCGGCTGATGTTATCCGTGCCTGATGTCATCCGTCGCTTGTCGTCACCGGCGCCGGTGCCGGCTCTGTGTCCGAGACGGGGCCGCTCTGCCCGCGGCACCGTCACTCGCCTCGCCCCACTCCTCCGCAGGTAGAAGCGGCGGCGCGGCTGGCCAACGCGCACCAGTTCGTTTCGGCCCTGCCCGACGGCTACGACACGGCCGTGGGCGAGCGCGGTGTGACGCTGTCCGGCGGCCAGAAGCAGCGCGTGGCCATCGCGCGCGCTCTGCTCAAGGATCCGCGCATCCTCGTCCTGGACGAGGCCACCAGGTGCGCAGCTGGTGCGGCCGCCAGCTGAGTGGCCCCTTGTGGCCTCACGGGTGGCGGAGACCGTGAGCGCCAGCTGGTGGTGGCTGGATGCGTTTGTCGCGGTTAGGACAGCAGTGCGCTGTACGAACGAGGCCAGCTGCGAGTCTCATGATGGTAGAAATTCAATGATCCGACTGAATGATTTAATGATGCGACAATACCGTTGTGTTCTGTGCGTATGACAGTAAACTGAAATCAGTTCTGTGTGGAAAATTGAGCAATGCCTGACTTGAGACAACTCGTGCAATTGTGTTTGTGCGGTCATATTGATATAAACACATAGGTAAAGTCGTTAAGAGGGCAGACTGCTGCCATATGTGACTTATACCGTTAAACCATGAAAGTGACGCCAGGCGCCGGGGGACGCAGAGCTGAGCGTGACCGGCATGATCTTGGCCGCCCAACAGCCCATAAACAGACCATATAAGCGTCACGCGCCACACGTCAACCTTTCGGTGCTGACATCACGACCCGCTGGCACGCTGAGAGTTGCCCCGGGCATGGCGGCGCAGGCGATGACCTCTGGCGCCGCGGGTCGTCCACAGCGCACTGGACGCTGAGTCGGAGAAGGTGGTGCAGGAGGCGCTGGACCGGGTGGTGACCGGCCGAACGGTGCTGGTGATCGCGCACCGGCTCTCCACCGTGCGCAACGCAGACACCATCGCCGTCATTGCCGACGGCAAAGTGGCCGAGGTGAGTGATGACCATGCAAATGGTGATGGTGATGGAGGCGAAATGATGGATGGTGAATGGGATGGTGGTGCTCTAGATGACAAGCCTTTCCTAGTCATGTTTTCCACATGGGTTGATAATAGTAATGACTAGTGCTACATACTTTCATACACAGTTAAGCCATTACTTGTTTTCTGTTTCTGGTGATGACGATTATGGGAATCTTTGGGGCTTTGGGGTGCGGAGGGTCTGTCACGCAATACTGTATTGCACATCTTATTCGTTGCCAACGTGGAACGTTTTTGGGTTGCAGCAATCTTATCGAGGATTCCAAACAGTTGCGTGCTTATTGTGTTGGTGCATTACCGCTGTCATCGTTGCAACTAGGATGGCAGGAAAATCCAGCGGTGGTGACAGAGCTTGACCCCTTGTTTTACTCAGCAGCTAGTAGTCTTTCATATTGGGCTGTCGGAAGGATTTCCGGACTTGCTTGTGATGCGAATCATGCTTAACTTCACTGAAGAGATACCGGGAGACCGCGGAGGCCAAGTGTCCGCACCGAGCGTGGCAAAGTGACGTATCGTGTGGAGTATTGAGAGGATCAGGCGGCGCGCCGGGGAGCCGGTGGCGGCGACAGCGGCTCAAGCTGCCAGATCAGAGCCGACATTCTCGGTAAACGGGATCTCGGTGGGGCAGTATCAGCCACCAGCGGCACTACAAGCACACTGGTATTGTGTTGGGCTGCCGACGCCGTGCCCTGCTCACTCCGCGCCGCCGGGCCCTCCGTCCCCAGATGGGCTCGCACGCGGAGCTGGTGCGTAAGCGCGGCCTCTACTGGGACCTGGTGAAGCACAACACGCTGCGAGAGGAGGGCGGCGCGGCACCGGCCGGCGGCCGCTCCTTGTGACCTCGCCCGGGGCCGGCGGCGCGCGGCGCGACCCTGGCTGAGGTGGCGCGCCGCGGCTGGGCGCTAGCTGTTGTTACTGCGGCCGCGGGGCGGCGGCGCGCGGCCTGTTAACGGAGGTGATTGTTGATCGTGAGTAGGTGATCCACGCGCGCGGTATGTTGGTCTTGTTCAGGACGGAGGTCACGCTCTGTGGCGAGCGATCGATGTGTTCAGGCTCGGCTTTATCTCTGTGACTTTGGAGTGCTTGATCATTATCAATTGTGCTGTGCAATGGCAAGCCTCGCCGGGAGATTGGCCCCTGCCCAGACTGCCTCGTGTGGTGCGGCCTTTTTGCTGGTAGTTGTCTGCTGCTGGTATCGGCAGACAGCGTGCAGGTTTCCTAGTGCCCACGTCTGACCCGTGACTTCTGGTGGCACCGAGCTGCGCCGGATCACGTGCTGCACTGTATAGGAACTGTTCTGCAGGATATGGCATACAGTAGGGGAATATGCACCCAACGATTTACCTCTGCCAGTCATGCTGGCACTCCACTTTTGCGCGTGGATTTCCTGAGTGGTAAACGCCCCATTATCAGGGAGTTGTCTGATGCTCGGCAGGTATTACACGCGAACTATTTCACGATGAACAATGCCAGCATTTACAGAATGTTTCCATGGTGATCAATACAGTCGGGTCAATCGAGCGCACTGATTGCGTTGTTTTCGGACGCCTTTCAGGGGGGGACGAACTGTTGACTCTATTTGCGCCACAAGGCCGGATAGACCGAGTGAGGCGCGCCGCCGACGACCGGCCGCGCTGCCGAGATGTCTCCGTCAGGTGTGACAGATGCAGCGCCTGTGAATCGATAGTGCGCCGCGTCGGGGCGGTCGCCGCACAACGTGTTTTCGGTCGCACCTGCAGCGGACGCAGACCTCGTCCTGTGGGGGCGCTTCTGGTTGATGTTTTATAGTGGGCTAGGGGGCGCGGGACCCGTTTGCTCCGTACCGCGCGCCGTGCCAACCGGCGTGGGTGTCCATGTACTTTTGGGATTTTGGGCACCGCAGTGGTTTCAGACTTCAAATTGAGCGTAACGCTACCACGTACAGGAAAGCTTTACACAAACGGTCTCATCCGTCCAAGACTACTTCCGAAGACTCAGTGACAATCGGGAAATGCCCCCCTGCGAACGAGTGCAGCGTTTCGCACTGTCCGCCGCGGCGTCATCCGGCCGCCGCGAGGGAGTCCAGTGTCGGTGCCTTTTTGACCGGAGATCGATCCAGGATGGTGGCAGTCATCGCCGTAAGGTCACGAAGGCCGCACAACCGAGCAGCCCCTGGCGCCTGCGCCAGTCTGGCGCCACGGAGGTGAGGAGTGGCCCGGTCGGGCTCTCTGTCGTCAATGGAAGCCCTAGAAGACAGCAGCGCCTCACGATGATCCACTGTAGAGAACTGGTCAGTGATACTCCCCCTGTTCCGGGCTGGCTGAACCGAGTTAAAACTACCCGCCGTGCCTGCCGCGTATGCGTTAGGCGATGGTCACTGCCAGGCGCACAGCCTGTATCCCCAGCCGTGTGATTTGCTTTATCCTGACAGTGCGCTTGACTCGGCACGCACTAGCGCTGACGGCGCCGGCACGTTAAGTGTCTCGACGACAGCCAAGCATCGAACGCCACCCCGCCACACAGCTCAAATGATTCGCCACGTTCCCCCGCACCAGTTTCGACCATACCTCATCCTGTCCGTGTCTGCGCGGCTCTGTCTGTCCCCCACCCCCACCCCGCCACTCTTTGGCGGTTGTGGCACGTCCACGCGGGGGCGGGCGGGCGTGGTGGGGCGCGCCGGCAGCGCTCGGGGGCTGGCAGCGGGCGTGCCCGCCCCCCGGCTCTGCCGCGGGCGATCGAAGACGCGCCGACCCGCCATTGATCGCCGCCGACGGGCTGGCTGCCGCCCGCGCCACGCATACGCGTCCACCGCCCGCGGTCAGCCGCGCCCCCGGCCGGGCGGGCCGCAGGCCACGGCCAGGCGATGCCGCCGGGCGTGCCGCCGCCGCGTGGTGCCGTGCGCTCCGTCGTACTGGGAACGGCGGTCAGTAAACAGCGCGAGTAATGAGTGCCAAGGTCGCGTGGGCGTGGGTGCAGCACGTTTGGAACCGACGTCTTCGCGGGACATGTGGAGAGCACTCGGCGCAGACGACGTCGGGAGGTGGGGCCCATGGGACTGGGCGGGTTATTGCCTGGCTGCGTCCTGCGAGACTCAAAGATGGCGACGGCGCTCGATGCCCCCGCTCAGGCCAACAGGGTCGCCCGTCCCGCCATCCGGCCGGGTGTCTTGCGAACGCCCAGTCCGCTAGCCGCAACAGGCGGACGGCGCCGGCCGCAGCCGCCCCGCGGCGGGGCGCGTCGCCGTGTTCCGGAGATCCCACACCATTGCTGGACGGCCGTCTGGAGAGGCATGTGCTCCGACTGTCAGCTTGGCTGCGTGCCAAATCCAGGCTAGCCTGCGCAGACAGCTGGTCACTTGACGACAAGTTTATTTACCACTCCTTGGACGCACCTACAAGATATGCTACATCTCCTGGTGTACATTCAGATGATTTAATCGGGTCAATGTCCAGTATCAGATAAACGCTCAAACGCTTAACGAACCCAGGGCGAACCGGGGACATATCACAAAGCAGCTGGAGATTGCGTACACGAAACCTGCAACAAATCCTGTCCCAGTCCGCGTCCGGATCCTGAGCGCAAAACAATCGTTCGTTAATGGCGCATCCATAACGTATCGCTAGCATGGGCAACGTGTCATGGACAGCAGAGAAAAATCGAAACACGGGACGCGGCGACGTCCCCGGGGGGCCACTGGTCGTCGCATAACAGCCGGTGTATTGTCCAGCCACCGATAAAATACCGTGAGACCAACAACACCCAACTAGCGCGTCCTACGGTAGCAGCGCGTCCGGCGCGCGACCGGCCTCCTCAGGCGCGCCCGGCCGACAACCGGCGCACACCAGGCGAGCGGCGCCGCAGCCGCCGCCGCCTCGCAGACCGGGCGCAATGCGGGTCGACGGGACAGGACGCGGCTGGGCAGTGCTGGTGCGGATAGTGCGGTGCCGTCGCGGGGGCGGCGGCGGCGGCGGTGGAACGGTGCCAGCCGGGCCGGGCCGGGGGTGGGGAGGATCCGGGCAGGAGCGGGTCCAGCAAGAGCGGACTGAGGGTGACGCGATTGGCCGATGCCGGGCTGCGTCTGTCGGGCGCACGCAGGCCCGCGCGGAGGCCGGCGGACTCGGCACACAGGCGGCCGCGAGCGGCAGGGGCCGAGGACCAGTACTGCGCCGCACCTACGAACCCCCCGCTCCCCAACAGCTCTAAGCATGAGGTGCCGACTTCCGAACGCGACCGCGTAACAGCAATAACGACTAACAGCTTGAGCTACTTGCGACACATCGAGGAGCGACGGGGGTCATCGCGCCGACCCCGCCGGTCGGAGCCCTGCCGCCGCGCGTCGTCATTTTATGTTGATGCCGTCCTTTTCCATACGGCCGGATAGTCGGGCTTTTCGTGGGGCACTCGTTGGCACGTCCTGATGCGTCTGCGCCTCATCGGTGGTCGCCGCAGCGAGCATATCATGCCACGTGGGGATATCGGGTTACTTGTTCCCACAACTAAGCTACTTTAGACCGGGCTTGGGAAAAAATGGGACCTACGGGTTTTGGGAAGGCTGCTTCACGAGGAATGTACAGCGCACCGTAACTCCTGCCCAAACCAATACACATGCGCCACAAGGCCTCAAAGTGCGGAAATAACACAGCTATCTGATGTTTATCAGAACAAGAGAAACAAACACGTCACCGCCAGAACTGGATAGGACTGGTGCCCCCACTGATGACCCTCCCAGTTTAAATTTGAGAGCGTTAGGGTTACAGCGAGACAAACGAGTGCTCTAGCCCCTTTCTGACCAACACACGCACACAAAACAACGTATTGGAATATGACTCCATCGGTGTGGGCAGTTGGGCCTATGACGGAGTCCAAGAGCGGGTTCGAAATAAATGCTACAAGAAAAGCCAGAGTACGAGCGGCTACGGTCTGGCTGGGTGGAGACTCGCGTCGAGCACTACAACTGCTCTACGGCCTAGGGCAGCAAGCAGAAGACAACGAGCAACGGTGCGTCGGACAGAAGCGGCGGCGCTGCGCCTCCGACAGCCATTGCGCGTGCTCCAGTTCCGGCGCCACCAACCTGCAGAACAACGACCGCCTAGTGAGACACGGCGCGCCCGCGGACTACGCACGGACACAGCTAGGGCGCGGGGCTGGGGCCGGGGCCGCCGGCCGGTCGGTCGGGCGGCGCCGGCTAGCGGGGCCGGCCGGGCACCGGCGGCGGCGCGCCGGCCCGGCTCGGCTGCAAGCGGCGGCGGCAGGCCCTGGCGGCCGCCCGGCCGCGACGGCACGGCCGGCGCCGGCCGGCTGGAGGCCGGCACCGGCGGCGGCCGGCTGGCGGCCGGCACCGGCGGGCCCCGCCGCGCCGCCGCCGGCGACGGGCCGCTGCTGGTGGCATTGACCCAGTCCATGCTGACGGCAGCCGAGGTGGGCGCCGCCGAGCAGGCCATGGACGCGCTGCTGATGATGCGCAGCGCCTCTTTGCAGGCGTGGTACATGCGCAGCATCTCCTCGCGCCGGGCCGCCTCCTCGGCCGACTCCTCCATCATGCTGGCCTGGTCGCCGCTGCGTACAAGTGCGCCAGCAATTCGCCCATTATGAACGTCTTGCTCTGGTTGATCATCATGTACATGATGGTCTTGGGCACCAGGTCGCCGGTGGTCTTGGTCACGATCTTCATGTAGCTGTCGACCAGGTTGCGGATAGTCTCCACCTGGCGCTCGAGCTGCGGGTCCAGCGAGGCGGTCGGCTCCGACGCGCCATCCTCGCCGTTGGCCGCCGTCTCCTTCTCCGGGTAGACGCCGGCGCGCAGGAACGACGCCTTCCACGAGTCCATTTCCTCGGTGCTCTCACAGCTGAGCTCCAGCTGCTTCAG